GCAAATTATTTCTAATAGGTTAAAATTAATTAAGAAATATAGACCATTTAAAGTTTTTGAGATATGATGAAAATATATTTAAAATATTTTATTAACCTTTTCATTTACATGCTATCAAAGACGATTATTTGCTTGGGATCTGTAGAACCCAAGAACATTGTACAAATACACAATTCCATTATTATTGGATTTTTAAATAACTAAAATTTTTAAATATGTAACTAGATAATCTATATTTCGTCTTCTTTTTTAAATTTAGAATTAAATTATTATATTTATGATAATGCGATCAATGTTTGATTGTAGATACGAGATTCTAATATAAATAATGTTTTACTTTAAATTTTAATTCCATAAATCATTCCAATTAGGCACTAACTTTATAATTTGACATGCGTTACAGTTTCCATAAAATATCGTATCCTACTTTTTTCCTACTTTTTCTTTTTAACAGTTGAAGAAATGTTATAATGAATAAGAAAGATAAAATCTGCTCTAGTTATTATTTTATTGAAATAATGGAATCTTAATTTAATATGTATTCTACTAAGACAAAATTTAAAACTGGCCTGAATGATTTTTAATTGCGTAATATTGTACACGTATTAAGTTTCATGGCAGGTGACATGGGAGTTCAATTCTAAATGTTACTACATATACTTAATGTTTAAGTAAACCATGATGTCATTCTTACTGTTGTTGTTATGACTGTCTAACTTCATTACTTTAAAATTTCATACTGCTCAACACTTCATAATGATGAATCTGGTAGATCAGTGAATTTCCAAAAGAATTGATATTTTTTACTACATATAATCAATGTTGCAAACATATTGTCCTTTTTTTGAATTTGGATAATTTCATGACATTTTTAATTCAATATTTATAAATTTTGTTTTTTAAATTATAAATTAAAGGTCTGAAGTTTATGAAAAACATGTTTTCAGCATATATTTAATAAAAGCATTTATGTTTTTTTTGTATGTATTCAAAAATATATTATTTTCAATATGATGACATTTATTAAAATCATTCTCAGTTATTTAAAGTTAAAGAAGTGCCTCCGATTTGGGTAGAACAATTCCACGAGCCGTTTTTTGAAAAAGTTTCTTGGAGTTTTTAGTAAACAGTTTATTTTTATTCTTTCTTGTATGTTTCTTTTCCTGGTTACTACCGATTTCTTTCCTTCAGCTGAGCAGAATATGTTGAATTTTATAACCTAGATAAGTATTGAAAGCGTAGAGAAGATTTTCTTTTAAAGTTATGAATATTTTACGCAGCAATATCAAAAATCCCTTTTCACGCCCTAAAGCTTAGGTATGTTGAATGTACGTGGAGTGTTGAGATAATAAACCTTTATAGTTCAAAGGAGAAAACTTGCTAGAGGGAAAGATTAGTTCTCCCTCATTTATAGAAACAATTGTTCCGTTCTGTGTCAAACGTGGTTGTCAATAGTTGTATTCAACACTTAATAAATGCGTGAGAAGAAAATAGCAAGAAAAATATTCATTCTTTGTCTGTATATGTAGACCTATCTCACTATAGATAGTTAGTATACATTATAGTGAGATAATTGCATATATTCTCAAATTTAGTAGTTTGATTTTTGATTCTGACACAAAATATTGTGTTGGCATAAAAAGGGAATTTGTGCAGCCTTATTGGGTTGAAATTCTTAGTAATAAAAATTATGTAGATGAATTTTAAAATTTTATAGAAAATTGGAGATGGGGAAGCTCCACATGGGGAGCTTCAAATTATGCTAACGCATAATTTTAAGTTACTCCGGCCGGTGTGGAGTTTCCGACTGNTTTTTAAATAACTAAAATTTTTAAATATTTAACTAGATAATCTATATTTCGTCTTCTTTTTTAAATTTAGAATTAAATTATTATATTTATGATAATGCGATCAATGTTTGATTGTAGATACGAGATTCTAATATAAATAATGTTTTACTTTAAATTTTAATTCCATAAATCATTCCAATTAGGCACTAACTTTATAATTTGACATGCGTTACAGTTTCCATAAAATATCGTATCCTACTTTTTTCCTACTTTTTCTTTTTAACAGTTGAAGAAATGTTATAATGAATAAGAAAGATAAAATCTGCTCTAGTTATTATTTTATTGAAATAATGGAATCTTAATTTAATATGTATTCTACTAAGACAAAATTTAAAACTGGCCTGAATGATTTTTAATTGCGTAATATTGTACACGTATTAAGTTTCATGGCAGGTGACATGGGAGTTCAATTCTAAATGTTACTACATATACTTAATGTTTAAGTAAACCATGATGTCATTCTTACTGTTGTTGTTATGACTGTCTAACTTCATTACTTTAAAATTTCATACTGCTCAACACTTCATAATGATGAATCTGGTAGATCAGTGAATTTCCAAAAGAATTGATATTTTTTTACTACATATAATCAATGTTGCAAACATATGGTCCTTTTTTTGGATTTGGATAATTTCATGACATTTTTAATTCAATACCTATAAATTTTGTTTCTTTAAATTATAATAAGAAAGGTCTGAAGTTTATGAAAAACATGTTTTCAGCATATATTTAATAAAAGCATTTATGTTTTTTTTGTATGTATTCAAAAATATATTATTTTCAATATGATGACATTTATTAAAATCATTCTCAGTTATTTAAAGTTAAAGAAGTGCCTCCGATTTGGGTAGAACAATTCCATGAGCCGTTTTTTGAAAAAGTTTCTTGGAGTTTTTAGTAAACAGTTTATTTTTATTCTTTCTTGTATGTTTCTTTTCCTGGTTACTACCGATTTCTTTCCTTCAGCTGAGCAGAATATGTTGAATTTTATAACCTAGATAAGTATTGAAAGCGTAGAGAAGATTTTCTTTTAAAGTTATGAATATTTTACGCAGCAATATCAAAAATCCCTTTTCACGCCCTAAAGCTTAGGTATGTTGAATGTACGTGGAGTGTTGAGATAATAAACCTTTATAGTTCAAAGGAGAAAACTTGCTAGAGGGAAAGATTAGTTCTCCCTCATTTATAGAAACAATTGTTCCGTTCTGTGTCAAACGTGGTTGTCAATAGTTGTATTCAACACTTAATAAATGCGTGAGAAGAAAATAGCAAGAAAAATATTCATTCTTTGTCTGTATATGTAGACCTATCTCACTATAGATAGTTAGTATACATTATAGTGAGATAATTGCATATATTCTCAAATTTAGTAGTTTGATTTTTGATTCTGACACAAAATATTGTGTTGGCATAAAAAGGGAATTTGTGCAGCCTTATTGGGTTGAAATTCTTAGTAATAAAAATTATGTAGATGAATTTTAAAATTTTATAGAAAAAAAGTTTTATAAAGGAAAAGTTTAAAACTTCAGAAAGCTTTACTGTATTAAACTTAGAAGTATCACCAAATATATCTCAAAGCAGTGGACTCTTGATATAACCATAGCGTTATATCAAGAAAGCACTGCAGGAAAATTATTTTTTAATTTAGATATTTCTAAAATTATCTATCACATTTTATTTTCTATTCCAACATTCCAACATTATGTTAAGTAGGTACCGTTTTATTCTAAATTGATACTCAAAATCTCTTAATTTCCCATTCTATTTTATTTTTTTAATAAGAAATGAAAAGAAACTTTGGAAAAATAATATCCCATAAAATTGTTTTGTAAGGTTGCGCAAGGGCAAATAAACTTGAAGAAATCTTAACTTTTATTTTAAAATTTTTTACGAAAAACTTTTGTTTGAAATAATGAAAAACTTTATTTTCTCTTTTCCATTCAGACACTGGTTTAAATTATATAAAGTAAGTGAAACAGCAACAAGTTGATGCGTGATGTAGGTACAACATGGTTCTTTTTATGCTTTAAAAACTTTTAATGATTTCATAGCATACATGCAGCCTACATTCAATTTGAAAGTAAAACCATACTTTTGGTTTTTTTTAATATCTAAATAAAAGAAAATATAAGATACCGAATTTCGCCATTTAGAACTTAAAAATAACTAAGAAGATGCTGTACATAAAAGGGAAAAAAATCCGTGCTTTTATTTTAAGATGTTCTTAGTCAGATTCTTGTTTTCTTCTTCGTTTGCTGTGCTGACACGTTGAGGAGCGGTTCTGATGGTAGTTAAGACATTTTTCACGCTGGGATTCACATGATCCGACCTCCGACCGCTTCCGCTTGTTTCAGCTATAGTTGGCAGAGCAGAATTATTATTTTTCTTAAACGATTTCAAAAGAAGGGAACGTGACAACGAGCGAGAGAGTGGCCTAAGCCTTTGTAAAGCTGAATTTTGGGAAGTGTTTGGCGATGACGACGAAGTTTTTCTTGTCTTTTTTTCCAACATTTCCATTACTAATTTATCTGGTAAGGCTAAATCGGCATCATTTCTTAGTGTTATTATTTTGATTAGTTGAAATGTGATATTTCTGTAGACACGTTGATGACTTTTGTTAAATACTTTAAATCATATGACATGATTGCTTGAAATAGATAAAAAATCCTATGCCGTTTTCCTTTAATATTCAGAACATTTAATGCATTTATATTTCTTCTAAAAATGAATGTTCTAAGGTTCTAACTTTTTTCAATGAATACTCATTTCTTAATATGTTGAAAATGATGAACATTAACATAGAATTCAGAAGAGAAAAGGCAAAGACTATATGTAAGAGGCAATTATAATTAATAACCTCTGAAGCAGCAATTGCTGAGTAACTGATTCTCTTGATTTTTCTCAATGTTGCATCATCTACAGCTTCTTTGAGTGTCTGTTCTAAAGTACTTTCAAGATTTCTTGATTGTGGTAATAAATCGTCGCACTTTGAACGAGAAAGGGAAAATTGAAATTTCTTGCATATGAATAACGAGTAAAATAATGATACGAGAGATTTTAAATTTTTTATGTGTTCTGTGCATTAATGAGGCGTTAATATCTTTAGAATGTGCAAATGGCTCCCGAGCGTGTCACAAATACATGGAGAAAACTTAATATCCTGTCGGTAGAGATTCTTTCTCTCATCACTATTTTCTCGTAAAAGTTTAATTGATGCTTTTACTAATACAGGCGTCGTTTTGGTGGAAGTGATTTTACATCGGTTTGTTGATCGATTAATCTTCCTTACTGTTTGAATGTCAGTTTCCCAGAATCTGCAATGATGAAGGAAGTAATATCTAAGTAATAAAAATATGTAGGTATATGACAGAAAATGTTTATGAAAAAAAAAGAAGTAAATCATAAATAATCTTTCACTTCCTTTCTGTAGTACTTGATCAGGCTTTTAAGAATAATTTTTCCGCATTGAAGCAGTAATTTGTTTGTTAGTTACGCTCACACCAAACGTAATATATAACTAGCTTGAACCTCTGAGTCATGTGATGATGGTGAAAGAGAGATTTTTCGGAATCATTGAAAGTGAAAAATTATCGTATGAATATTTCATCATGTCTTTTCATCACTCTCTTTTTCATGTGGAACTCGCATACATACCTTCGTAAATTTGGACTACTTGTGTAAGGTGCTGCCACTTCCTTGATCTTTAGAACAATGATAGAAGTCTTGATAGCAGTAATGAAAATACAAATCACGTTTACCACAGTTGATAAGCCTGATATAATGCCATTAATAAGGAATTCTGTCGGAAGGTAGTAGGTTGTCAGTGTACGATTCTCCTTTGATATGTGGAATTTTTATACCATCATATATCAACCAGATGCACGCTAAAGCCCTGATGAACGACATAAAGAGAATTTTTTTTACAAATTGTAGGAAATTTCAAAGTGAAATAGTTTTTCACATACCAGAATAATTTCTAAAAAGAAAAGAATGTAATTAAAACCTAGACGGTTTCTTTTTCTTTCGTAAGCTTACGCAATTTACGACAGGGGGTAGAGTATTTGCACTGATGGTTACACCGATTAAAGAACCAGCACCACCTTGCAACAAAGCTACATACATCTACTCCACTCCCCTTTGTCAGTGCCCACAGAACCACCATCCACAACGATCGAGAATTACCTCTGCAACACAAACAAATCATCATTTATCTTTATTTCCCATTGTGGAATATTCCATGTAAATTCTTTTTTTTTTCGTCTGTTAAAATGTGAACTTTCAAGTTCCTAAAGGATTGTTTGGAAATGGTAAAATGAAGAGAGAAAGAGAAGTCCAACCCTTCATATTGTTTCATACCTTCCCTTCATTTCTTCCGTTGGGAAGTCTCCGAAACCCCATGGCATTTCGGTTGTACCGAGCTTGAGCCCAAAGATAAAACCAAACAGACATGAAATAAACATTCCAAGAGTAAGCGAAATGAAGCCAACTTTCTGTAAATTATTAATGAGATAATAATTTTACTTCCATGAAATCGCTTTGTTTTCTTCTTTTGAAGGTAAGTGAGGGACTTGCTTTTTCATAATTAATACGAACATTTTCTATCTGTACTTAATGTGAGTTAATCGATAGTATATTTTGTTTTAAAAGAGTTTGTATTATAAAAACGTACTATTAAATTTAAAAATCAGATTTCTTAAGATTACGTGATATATTGAAATTTTATGTGGGTTGGGAAATCTTCAAAAGCCGAATATCTCACTACAAGCTCCTATTCTCAGATGATAGTCAGCTAATAGTCCCAAATGTAATGGACACGACCCGATAATTATGAATTTTCAGAAGATAATTTTTTTTAATGCATTTAGCTTATTGCTTTTACCGGGCCCATTAAAGGAGATACTAATATTGCAGCGACAATGGCTAGAATTTTAATCAAAATATAATTTTCAATGTTGGTGATTTTTTTTAGATTAGTAGGGACTGAAAAAAATGTACTCGACTAGATTCTGAATTTCTCATTTTCCTCACTATTAATTTCAACCAAACACAAAGCATCGAGAGAAATTTTCAAAACAAGAATTAATTATAATAAATGAAACTTTTTTGTAGCAAAGAATTAAACAACCTGCATTAACTCAACAGTAACAATCGAAAGCAGATAATCAAATGTTAAGCTTCCGCCTGACCTCACTCCATCAACTCTTGCTTAACAATCAATTTGGACTTTATTGATTCAACAAATTCATTCCATTAAGAGATCTCAGCATCACCACTACATGCAAATATAAAATATTTATAGTTTAAATATCATAGAGAAATATGATTTCATTGCTAATCTTATGACAACTGTATGCTAATAAAGTGGACTCTTGATATTACGATTTATATAAAGCAAAAAGGAACAATAAAAATTAAAAGATGGAAAAGTCTTGTCTATCTAAGGATTAGCTTTATGATAACTTACCTAACTGAAGTGTTGAATTCCAAGCTCCAACTTGTCGTCTAATATTATCTCGTCTCACAAGGTGTCCAGGGGCAACCGGAAATACTACTTGGTAATAATTTCCGGGTTTGTCACTGTACCAAATAACATGCTCAATCTCAAGATTTTTCAATAAATCATCTAAAATCTATTTTCACCATCGGTAAGTATGAAAAGACATGTCACAGTGAAATGGAAATAAACAAATTACAAACTTTCCCAAAGAAACATCAACATTATGAACGTTACCAGCATAGTCTGCCTATGGAAAATGTTTTCTTTGTTTTCTCCTGACTTTCAAGGGGAATATGTTTGTTTCTAAGCTCAATTTCCATTTGTAAAACAGCATTTTCATCAGGAGGTGGTGGAATGATGAGGTCATTTTTTTCACTGCAGGCAGGTTGTAGTTTTGTGCAGCAGCAATTGCGTTACCATTCTAACTTCCTAAAGCAATTCTATAAAGGAAAACATGTTCAAAGAAGCTTTCAACAAATCATATCTTTCACTTACATAGCACACAAACTAAATAGCACTCCCATCTTCAAGTAAAATAACTTTTTTTGTGTAAAATGTCTGGATGAAAAACCTCAAGAGTTATTGATTGAACTGTACAATATGCTCGTTTGTTCATATAACAGGGTAGTCAGCAAACTAAATCGTTTTATAAAGTGTAAAATGAATATCGCAACATTGTGCTAAAAATTTTCTTTAACTAACACTTTTGCTGAGTATAGTAGCAAAGTTTGTTCCGATATGTTTCAAACCAAATGTCAATTGTTTATCACTTAATTTTTCCACGTGAAGGAAAAATTTAAATAACATCTTTAACACCTGTGTCAAAAGTTCTATCTGTGCTTTTATTTATACACTTACTAGTTTTCTTATTATTTCTCTTATACTTTACCCTGAATGTACTTGTTATTGTTAGTAAAGGATCAAAGAAAATTTAAAAATTGAATCTTTTTAAGAATTTTAGAATTCAAACTCACAACCTTAAGGTTTCTAAATATTTGAAAAATAATGTTTAGTAACTTGTTGAATTCGATTTTTTGTTATTTCCTTTATTAAGATTCCAGTTTCAAACTAGCTGCTATTTTTTTCATATTTACATCCATGTAAATATGTCAACTTGATAGCATCAACTTCATAAGAAAATATGGAAGGCAGATCAAATTTTTTAGGATCAGTGTTTATTTACTTATCTAATTTACTCACACAATGGTTTTTGTTGTAGAAAGTGTGGATAAATCAGTGATTGGTTGATCTGCAAAGTATCTTTGGATTTCTAGAGTTCATTGTATATGTATGTAAATGCGAATTATTTAATATACATGGGTGACGAATGAAAATTATTATTACAACAAATCAACCACTCATTGAAGCAATTTCTCAGTGTCAATTTCTTAGGTCAAAAAAACTTGCTACATATTTCGCACGTAATATTTAATTCAATTATCTTTGCTGATGTTCAAGATAGATACTGTTCTCTTGAGTTTTTGCATAAAATATAATCATAGCATCAAGTATCTTAAAAACTTTATGAGGTGAGCATAGTTTCAAGGAAATATATTATCTTTCGATAAGAGATAAAAATAGTTGAGAAGGTTTCATGCATATCTCATATTGAAAGTTTAAAAAATCTTAAATTGTAATCGTGATGTTAAAAATATTTAAGAATTGTGGAGCAGGATTCGTGGTGTCTGTAGAATAATCAAACCACGTTAACTTTTGTAAAGCTTTGTTAAAGAACTTTTTTAAATAAGCATAAATATGAAAGCATTGTGTTTTTGAGAATACCGTCGTATCAGAAGAACGTATTACATATATTAAGAGTTACTGTAAGACAAATTTCATTGAGCGCAATAATATGACTTGGTTACCCAAATGGAATTAAAAAAAAATCACTCAAAAAGCTATTAGTTTTTCATAGTGATTTTAGAGCTTCGTGGTTTTTTAATGCTTTTTAGCAAAATGATGCTTTTGCTGGCCAAATTTTGCGATGAACTACCCCTTGGTGAATTCTTATGACAAATGTTTTACATACAAAAGTAGGTATATATTATATGAATTACATTTTAATGTTGATTTTTAAATCATGAAACTACTGAAACTACAAGAATGAAATTAAAACGATATTGAAAGTTTTCTTAAAAACCAAATGACAAATGGGATTTTCCTTGTATTTTTTGAAAGCTAGGTAATATTTCAAAAAAAGGTTCATTCAGATAATATTTAATTTTATTCTGTAAATGCTTTAACAATGAAAAATAGATGCTTGAATGCTGTTATCTGAAATTGTGTAAGCAATTACTACTTACCCAACGGTATGGACATGAAAATATTATTAATAAAATATTTTATTTTGTTAGTAAGTTAATTTGCTTCTGCTTACATAGATATATAAATCATATTTACCTATGTAGGTAAATGTTTTCACGCATGATTATGTTTCGCATAAAATGAAGTTTCAACTAACCGTAAACATCTTCATTTTATGTTTCCATGGAGGTCACATTTCAGAAATGTTACGCAAATTTATGGATTTTAATTATATTGCGCAACGAACATGACTTGAATATTCATTCTTTATATTTTCTTAACGTTCTTCTTTATATTATAAGTATTTATATTCATATCTATTACTCTGCAGTATATGTTTATACTTTATAACAATTGAGGTAAACCGTAATGTTTCGTAGTTTTTGATATAATTAGGGGAAAAGGACATATTCTAAATAGTATACTGCTTAAAACGGGACCAATTGAGAATACACTTCACTTTGAATACGGCTTTCTTCGCTATTTTACATTTTTTAGCGCAAAACTTTTTAGAGAACTAGAGTAGATTCCAAAGTACTTCTCTACCAAGTTTTGAGCTAAATGAGTGAAAAATAGCGAAGAAATCCGTATCCAAAGTAAAAGAAATTTTTAAACTTATGTATAAAAAATCACCTTTTAAGGTTAACAGAGTTGCTAAAACATTTTATTGTTACTTTTAGATACTTTGAAGAATGTTTCAAAAATAAATACTGACGAAACGTCAATAAAAGTATCTTTAGAGTTGCGTTTTTTTTATTATTGGTAAAAAACAGCCACATATGCCCTTCTCCCTTATGTACCGTCTTAGCAATGATGTAGTTAAATCTCAAGTAAAGAGAAAAACTTTACTATGCTGCGTAAAAACTTCAGGGAATCTTCAAATTAAAATTTATGTCTTGTCCTTTTAAAACACCATAAATATAAAACAGTGCAATCTTAAACAATAAAATTAATTTACCATGAAAGATAATAAATTATTCTCAACATTTATCAAATGAAGACCCTCAAAGGAAGTACAAATAGAAACAATTTAAGACTGAAGTTTATTTGAAACAATTGGAATTCCATAATAGTTGTTTGACCCAAACTTATAAATGTCTCATATTTTTCTGCTTTCTTAATAGTTATTAAATTTAAAAAAATTAAATGAGACGTAGATAATAGAAATAGAAATGAGACGTAAACCAAAACCATTATCTTAAAAACTATGCTCCTTTTAATTTTTCGGTTTTGTGTCGATTTATCAATAACTATCATCATGTTTTGTTCTTTGGCAAGCATTAATCTTAACTTTTTTATTGAGAGCTGATTAGACATTGTGAGAAAAATTATTTTTACAGTGTAGACCAAGAGATCTTTTAAAACTCTCTTTTTTCTCACCACATTGAGAGAGAAAATTTCTACAAACTTTGCTTCAAGAGTTTCCCAGCATTTGAGACGAATCCTGACAAGATATTTATGCTGAAAATTAGTTCCTTTACAGCATTCAAACAGATTAAAAGTGAAATCGCTGCGCTACAAAGGATTATCTTGTAGTTCCATCTGGAAAATAATATATATATTATAAATGTTGGAATATAATACAAGGATTATAAAAATTTATAAAACGAATGGAGAAACTAAATAAAATTTCAATCGTAGAAGACCAAGTGTTAAAATTACAGACAAAGAGCTTTTGTTTTTAAAATCAAACTAAGATTTCTCAAAGTCAATTTTGGATTATAGAATTGGAATATTTAATTTACATCTGTGTTAAATTAAAAATGTTGAATTTAATCATAAATACCCCGGAAAAGAATGAGAAATATGAAAAAAAGTGTTGAATGTAACTCGATGAATCTAATTTGATTTTAATTAAAACTCGACGATGGTAAATATTATGATATATATCTAATTATGCAAATGTCTCGTGATAAAAAATAATTCGATTGATCGAGAAATGCTTCAATGAGCTTAATGAGAAATCATAGAGAGTGAAAGGATTACTTAGACGATTACTCAGGCCTTATCGGAGATTAATTAATAATGGATAAACAAATTTGTTTCGTCTTAAATTGTGAAAATTGAATAAAGTGAGAAAGTGTTTTAGATAAAATTATTACAAAATCTAACACCAGTAAGAGGATTCAAAATAAACTTCCTAAAAATTATTTTTTACAATTTGTAAGTGAAAAAAAAACATTTCAGCTGAAAATTAAAAGCGAAGTCATTAAGATTTTTTTTTGAATTCAAGTATATTTTCACCGCTGTCATTTCAATTATGTCACAATTACTAATAAAGAAAGGAAACATTAAAAGAAACATTTATATCATCCATCTCGGCAATTTGTGATATTTTATTTATTTAAGTGAAGTTTAAAATAATCCTATGTAGATGTTTCATGATGTCATATTCTTTATCTCCATTTACGCTTATAAGCAACTTTTGATGACGTATTTATTAAAATCAAAATACGACAAAATATTTGAAATCTTAAAGCTAAAAATTATAATTGTCATTAATAATAAATAAAGAAGAAAAATAATGTTGCTTCAATGGAATTTGAATTTGTCGAATAAAATTTAATTTAAATTTCCACACTGGGAGCATAAAAATTCTTTTTGTTAAATCCAAAAATATTTTCCATTTCCTGCTTGTATACATGCCAATTTATGTTTTGCTTCGAAAAAGTATATTCTTAACGTTACCTTTCATTTCATTAAAATTTTACAACTTTTTTATAACGGTGCGTAACAAAATCCGGATTGTGCGATTTACATTAAAGTCGTTTTTCATTTAACTATGTATCTATGTAGCTTATGAAAATATAACTGTCTTATCAAAAGCAAAGCATACAGATTTCTTTCGCTAAGTCACGTATTTTGCTATTTCCATTGTGTCATTCATTAAATAGATCAATGTGGATTTATCAGGAAATTCTTTTAATTTCTATCATTTTCTTTTGAGAAATCATTTAATCGATAGTCTTTGATTATGTATTCTGAGTCAGAATATAAAGATAATAAATGTAAAAAATTACAAGTTAAATTAAGGCATCATATCCGAGCGGCACAACTGCTACTCTTTTATATTTTGGAGCCTATAATACGTAACTTTAAAGTAAACTTTTGTGGAATTGCCGCTTTTGCAACTCTAGGTTGTCTCAAAAGTAACTGACGATTTATTGGTTAGCTCTAAAACTAACTGACGTTTTATGAAAAAATAGTGAAAATGAATGATGAAACATTCTTTTGAATTCTCGTCTAATTTTTTAGAATAGACCATGTTAATGCATGATTCTAAAATATAAATCAAATGACTAAAATGATGGTATTGCGTGATTTAGAAGATTGAATCCTTGCTTTTGATTATAAAATATATGCCAAATTGGAAAAATCAAGTTTTTCAACGTGAACGTTTTAATTTCACCGGAATAAAACTCCACAAAACTTAATCAATCCGATACTTAAGATTGATGAATTTTGATACGGTTAGATAAATGTCAGAATTTAGATGTTTGTGAAAAATAAAATAGAAATTATTCACAGACATAAGATGAAAACATGCTATATGCGACACACCATAAAGATTGGCATCATTCACTATGCCGATGCGTGAGCCAATTATTTTTTACTGCAAAGACATATTTTTTACGACCACAGTGAAAAAGAAAATGAACAGTTTTATGTCCAAAGGGTGTTGTTCTAAAAGCTTGGAGCCACAGAAGAATTCGAATTAAAATTTTTATTATTCATTTGAGGGTCGCAGACAAAGTCATTGAAATAAGGTTATTTAAGAAAATACTATGTGAAAAACAAAAATCTTATCAGAACAAGCCCACACTTCTCACTTTTCCTCATACAGTCTTGAAGGAGAAAAAAATGTAAAGAATTCAACGAAGGAAGCGAGAATACTTTAAATTCTGAGAGGTTCTTATGCTTCTTTTGTTTTTAATTTATGTTTGAAAATGAAAAGAAAGTATCAAAGCTTTTGGAAGCATGTTTCAATTGCCAACTTTAACTAAAAGTTTTTTAAGGAGTGTGTAAGCTTAATCGAGTGAAAGAAATTTATTATTTCTGCCTCATTTAAAAGCCAGTGGAAGCAAAATTAGAGCTAAAGGTAGAACAATTAAACGTAAATAAATTGTAAAAATGTGATGAAACAAAAAGAAAAACGAAATACTTTTTCTTTGCGCCTTAATTGGTCTTAAGAAAGGAGGAAGAAAAAAAAAACAGCAAAAAAAGCGAGAATGAAAATAAGGGATAATAAAACTCTTCTTTCTTCCTTTTTATATTGAGTTTAATGTATTCATTTTTTACCAGAGTATTGTTAGCGTGTAGCTTTTTACAGTCATTTCAAGAAGTTTTCAGCTTTTATGCTCCATTAGGAAAAGACAATAGAACTTGTACCTTTTGTATATGATTATAATTTCTTAAAGAAGAGTCCATTTCTCTTAAGCTGAAAAGATAAATTTTTTGGAATCAACTAATGAATATAATTTTATTCAAGATGATTTTTTATTTTCAAAAAGGTTAAACAAAAGACAAGAAAATTTTATCACAATAGAGGAAGAAACCAATTTCGAAATATTACCATAACTATGGATTTGATATTATAAACATTTTAAATTGAGCGAATTACAAATCTGACAAAAACTATCAATAGTAACAGTTTGGAATAGAGCCAATAGGGAAGAAAATAGTTAAAGTGAATTAATTTAAACTGCTTGAAGATTTTTCAGTACATTGCCGTTTAAACAAAGTTTACTTTTAAACATCTACTCCAGCTCTTTGAAAAATATTATCTATGTTAAAAACCACTTTTCAAATATTTCAATTAACAAAGCGCGTAAAAGTTCTTTACATAATATTTCTAATTGATGTAGGAAATTCATTCATGACAAGAGACCGATAATATTAATTAGGTTGTTTCTTCTTAGATCCGGAAAGGGTTGTAAAGTCAGAAGTAATAAAAGCCAAATCTTTTCTTTTATGCCGATTTTTCGGATTGCCAACAAAAATGATGGAGAAGAGACACTTGACGAGCATTTCGGTCGCAAAAAATGTCTTTCCATTAATTCAGACAACTTGACGCCTTGAGGATTTCTTTTTGTGAACGCTTAAATAAATTCTCTTAAAATCGTTGGCTGAAGCTTTAGGGGAAATGTCTTGAGGGTTGTGCATATTTATTTATATTTGAATGTCTCGTTTCATGCTTAGTTTATTAACAATTTTAATAAAACTTCTTCATGCCGAAAAATTGATGCTTCAATGCTTCGTGCAGAAAATAATTAATTTTCCAACTTTCATAATTTCATTTTACTCACTTTAGCAACTTTTTTATTCTATTCGTTAAATCTGTTACGTGAATTTAGCGCGTCTGAGTTTTATTTCAGCCTGTTTTGTCAAATGACTTGTCTCACACTTTTATTCATTCGACACCCTCTTAGATAAGAAAAATATATATATTAAGATGTCGCAGAAGAATAAACGTTTAACTAATTGTCATATTTTTCTTTTCCATTCTACTCTGATTTCATTATAGATCGTTTGTTGAAATAATAAATGCTCTTCTTAATTGAACATTCAGAAAGGGAACTTTTAGAGTATTAATAAAAAGATTGCGACAGCAGAGGTTTATCGGAACATTTTCACTCATGACATTCCAAAGAACTTTGTGAAATGAATTTATATAAATTAATTTACTTCATATTGGCCGTCATCTTTGCCAAATGCAAAAGTACTTTGAAGGCTGCGTCAGCATCACCAACTATGGTGGTTTCAAAGTATCCGTCTCCAGTGAATACTTGTGGTGGCATATTGACTGACAAATATGGAACGATTCAAACGCCAAATTTTCCAAATCCCTTTAATGTGCCCATTTCGTGTGTCTGGATTCTTGACGCTTCTTCTTTCTGGGGTACACCAAATACATCTATTTTCATTTATCTAACACAACAGTATGTTCTTAGTGGACTGACATTTAAAGAGTATATGTATTATAGCGATGATTTTAAAGTACCAACTGAAAAGGAAACAATTGTTAAGGAGGAAAATGTTACAAGAACTGTATCAGTTCAATCAAATTCGCCTTTCGTAGAGATTAAATTTGAATTGGATAATCTTTATGGGACACAGTTACGTGTAATGGACCATTTATTAGATGTTTATGGATTCAATATCACTTATGAAGTTGGTACACCAAAGTCATATCAATGTAACTCTATGCGCTGTAGTTTCCTAGGAAGTTGTTATGCAACAAAGGATTATTCGTAAGTAAAGTTTAAAATTTTAATTTAGTTATCTAGAAGCTTGCTTTTAAATCAGACCGCATACAAACATAAATTGAAAATTGAAACAAGAAATCAAATTTTTTATAATTCGTTCCGAAATATCTATGATAAAAATATTAAAAGCACTGTTCTCTGTTTTGAACTGACATTGTATTTAATTGGGTTGAAAAAACTTTGTGAAAACTTTTGTTCAAGTCATTTTTTAGATAGAAGATTGTAAAGAAAAACTTATTCAGAACTTTCAATTTATGAATCTGATGAGTTTCATTTACGATAAAATTTTAAATTACAAAAAGATATTTTAAGTTTGACTTGTGATTTATGGTGAACGAATGATGTATAATTTCTAAAGATGTCACATGAGATGATACTTGGAATTTGTTCAAGAATTTTTGAGAGTAAAATATAATTTCAAAGTAATATTCCCCTTTCCTTATAAAAAAATTAATTATCTATTTAACCTTGTTTCAAAATACCATTTTCGTCTTGACTAATTTCAATCTCGACTGTTTTAAATATCTGATTGAACAAAAATTTCTCTGAAATAAAAACAAGTAAAATCCATTAAGTGGAAGTATGATAATGTCACTTGGAACTGAAATAATTTTGAACAAAAAATCCAAAATTTAAATGACGTTCAACCAATTTGTGGTGAAAAATATGAAATGTGAGAGTTTTGCTGGAATTTTAAACCAGAAGCGAAAACCCCTCGTTATACTTACAATGTTTTATAATGCTATAAAGGATAAGGAGATGAAAAGTCAAATCAGACGTAGAACAGAAATTATACCAAAATCCTTATTTCCAGATCTTATTACTGTCAATGTTTTGATGGATATTCTGGTCAGGATTGCAGCAATGGTCCACTGTGTAGTAAAAAGTACTGTGAGAACAGAGGCGTGTGCAAGTAATTTATGATGTTTTCCTTTTCCATCCATGGCTGCCTTAATCTCAATTTGCAATCCATCTTTTTTTCTTGACTTTTTATAGACACGTTGGTGATTCAAACATAAAATGTATGTGTCCTTATGGTTACAGTGGCAATAAATGTGAAATTCACGAATTTTTAGACGACGAAGACGGTAGGAAGACATAATTTCGACATACATATTTTCTTGTTCTAATCATAAATTTCATAAACAGAATGTAATTTATCAAAATACTCATCGAAATCTGATGGCAGTTTAGATTCATTCGAGTGCGTGAGTAAATGTTTGAGTGAACTCAACAATATTGAATTGTGTAGATGTCATCAAAACAATGAAATAGGTAAGAAAATAATATCTTTAGTTGTAGTCGTACAAACATCGAACAAAGTAACAAAGCAACATAGATACTTTGATCTGTTTGTTTTGACTTTAGTTTCATGAATCATGAAGAGTGAACAAAATATTATTTTTTTGTTCTCGAGAATTTCAACTTTGATTATGTCAGAAAATGATTTATCTGAATCTTCCTTAATACACAGCGTTATGTTGTTCCCTCTGTTATGTTGTAGATTTTTTAAATCTAAGTTTATTTTATATAACATGGGTGCGATTAAACTATATAGTAAGTTGAAAAGGCCAAAAATGAAAAACATTATTTTTCCAATTTAAACTTTTCGATAATTAACAATATTGATTGAATATTATTAATAATTCGACATATTTTGACTCGCAATTTTTTCATAACGTCTTTGGAGCAATTTGGAAATATTTCCATTTTTTTAAGCTTTCTCTGTACATATATTTAACGAACAGAACTAATAATTTATAAGTTAAACTATCATAGTCGTTAGATTTTTATTTAACTACAACAGATTTATTTTTTTACTAGCACAAGGACGAATACGTTTTGAAGCATCACTTCGACTTGGAAATGCCTCCATATATAATATGAATGAGGATGGTATGAAGAGAGTCAACCTACATTATGCGGCTTTATTGGAAAAATATGTAAGTTATCTGCATTTTTCATATTTTTTCTTTTTTTTTGTCGTCAATGACCGAGACATAAAAACTTTATGTAGGATTTTTTCATCCGCAAGAATCTAACATATTATTTTATATTTCTGTTTGGATAGAGGGGAGACGAAAAAAATAGAAGTGTGTGATATAAAATCAAGAGGAAATGGATGTTTATTTCTGAGACTTGTCAACACAACATTTTTATATACAATTATTGAAAAGTTCCTCTGAAAAAATAAGTAAAGAAACGAATCAAGTTTTTTCAGTCCGAAAAGGGCGCTGATATGTGTCATAAATTTTTCCGGGTGTTAACAATTTGTAAAAAATATCTTTGTTACGCCTGTCAAACTGAAAAAATATGTCAGCTTTTAAGTCTTATCTCGCATTGTGTGTTTTTCTGAGAAAAGTCAATGAATTATTGAGTCCATTTAGGATGTCAAATGGAAGGAATACATGAAAAATTAACACGGTGAGGAGGAAATCATTCTTCTCCCAAAGAAATAAAGTCTTCGATCTTCTCATACGTGAATTATCTTTCCAGTGAAAGATTTTAAATATTTAATCATATTTCAATTGATAAGCTTTCAAGCTTTTGGAAAGTTTCATTGTTGTTAAATAGATCAAAACAAATTATTACAAATTTTAAGATGTCGATAAATTTATTTTTCCTTTTCAAATTCATATCCATTTTGTGAGATACATTTTGAAGTATCGACAAGAAATAGCGAGCGTTAAATAAAAACGACATTAAAAAAGAAAGTTGGTGGAACAGAGAAACTCTTCAAGTACATAAGCAAGACTGAACGACGATAAATATTGGACAAGGAAAATTTTTACTCATTTTCTCAAGGCACATAGCTTTAATTCCCCAGCAGGGCATAGAATAAAAATAAACTTCTGTTCTGTAATGCTCGAAGATAGATATCTCATGTCTTATCTTTATGTTCTCTTCAAGTTGCCTTTTTTCTTTCTTAAAGAAAAACTCTCATCAACTGCCAATTCTATTCGTTCATCTTTTCTTTGTTCGCGAAGCATTTTATTGTTTTATTTTCAACAATTTTCAAGTTGAAATAACAGACGCGCATGAGGGAATATTAAGAATTGTGTAAACAGAAAAGCTCGCTGCTGATTTGACTTCATAATTTTCAATAATCAACAGAAAAAAATGGAAATTATTTCAAATTACGACATCAGTTGAAAAATCGCTACGCATTATTACTTGTATACTCCCAAGCGTCTTTCCTATTTTTGGATTGAATTGTTAAAGAAATCGAGAAATGAAACGGTTTGACACATGTCCCAAATGTCATTAAAGAAATGCTCGTAGGTGACGATTTAAATATAATAAACTCCCACGTTACGTAATTTATGGCTGTCACTTAAAAACATATTCCCTTGATGTGCCTTTCCTCAGTGAGTGGTCGTGAAACTATTATTTCCATTCAAATCTTTCTTACAGCAAAGTTACGTTCCTGTTTAACATTTCTTTCGACAACCATAAAAAACTGCACGATAAACCAATAGACGATTGATAAAGTTCGTCTACACCAACTGATTTCGCTCTCACCGATTACAATATTTTAACTAGCGAAAGCTCGAAGCGTTTTTCTCGAAAAATTTAAAAAGCTTTTCATCTGTAAAAGAAAAAGTTTTTGCTCTTTTCGTTTCTTTACTTAAAGCATTGATGCTACTAAGATATTTAGCAGCAATATATATTCATTTCATTCGTATACTTTTAAGATTACACACGTGTTTCATTTGAAAACATTTTTGCTACGGTGTCTTATGCGAAAAAAAATAGAAAGAAAAAAGAAAAAATAAAATAAATTCTGTTATCAAGCAGTTTTTTTCTTCCTCGATTTCTTATTATAATTTTTTTCATCTACATTCTTTCATCTTCCTTATTCTACTTTCACAGATAAGTCGATTTCTTCGGAATGCCAATATAAGCAGAATCAATGATTTAGAAATTTTCAACAAAACGTAAGTATCTGCAATACAAAACCGAACAAAACCAAAACATATGTGTTCAGCTTTCTTTTACTTTAATTCGACTCCTCGTTTTCGATTTTGTTTGTTATTTGATATTTGTATCAACACGACAAATGACTTAGAATTGTTCAATTTTCTCGTAAATAAAGAAAAAAAGTTTCATGCTAACACACCTGACAATAACATTTGTCGTTAAAATTTTTTGTCACTTTGCAATTGACAAGCAAACTTTGAAGTTTACTATCAAAACAACATAAAGCAAAAAAACAATTCACGTTTAACGAGCTTCATAAAATATCAATCAAGTTTCCATGGTAATAAGATTTTGATTTTCATTTTTTTTCTTTTCCATCTTAGACCATCGGAAAATGATCTCGTGTTTCATTTTTTTGGTGTTGAAAAGGACTCTATTAAGGTTCGAGACGCTATAAATAAAATGGTGGAAAAAGGACGTATAGGAAATTTTACGCTTTTATCAACACATTATGCTTTACACCAAGAACCAGGACTTATGTTTAAGGTAACATTCTAAAAATTTAAGAATTTTTCTCATTTATTTGTCGTTGATTAAAAATTTCAACACGAGCTTTTCTTGCAGCTCCGTAGATGAAATTAAACCAACCACCATTTAAAGAGAATTCTTCTTGACGTATTGAAATTTATGAGCCTAAATGGAAATGTGTTCTTTGAAATTTTAAGCATACTCTGAAGTATATGTTATAAATTTCAACTTGGAAACTTTTGAGAAATTTTGTTTCTCGATTTTTTCATTAGTACCAAAAATTTGAAATTTTAAACAGTGCGTGGTGTCTAGAATAAAACACTAACTAAATTTCCTTAAGAAATTTTCAATAACGATAAGAAAATGTTTCGAGCCAACTTCGAATTATACGCATTTGTGAAAACATTTTTAAAAATTCAAAATCATGATAACGAAACGATTTGGAAAAAGCATTAATTAAAAAATATATTTCTTTTCCTTTTCTAGTCTTTACAATCAAACCAGAAATCGCCATTTCGTGAAAATGATGACCTAATTTTAACTTGTACAGCTCAAGGTTCTCCGCTGGTCACATTCACTTGGCTAAAAAATGGATTTTTATTGAATATCAGTAAATCTATAAGGTATGTGGCTATGATTTTTCATTTCCAACTATTCTTGAAATGTTCGCGAATGATAGAGAATATTAACGCGTAACAAAACATACTCAAAGTTTTTGAAATTTTAAGGATATTTTGAGAGGTAGTTCAGGATTTTATTTTCCATTAGATACATATAATCAGTTGAAATCTATTACTTCTCAAACTTTTAAATGAACATTTGAAAATTAATCTAAACTCCAGGATTCAAAATTCAACTCATCTCCGGAGAATTCGATGAAATTCCAAGTTGAAGTGGTGAAGCATGATGAAATTCAATACTTGAAAATTGGATTACAATCAACAATGTTGGAAATCGTGAAAATTTATTGCGATGGAGAATTTAATAAATCACCCAAATCCAACGTCGAAGAAGCGTCAGAAAAAGGATGAAAAATAATATTTATGAAGGAGTTTTGGTTAAATTTTCTGCACCACCTTCTTCTCAGACATTTAATTGCGTTTCTTCTTGAAATTCTAAATTTAACATCCAAATTTATTTATGTTCTCTCTAGCCATATAAAAAAATAAATATTTAGAGACATAATTCTGTGGTGGTTGTTAAAAGTTCAATGATAGAAACTTTGAGTTTGTATCTACATGATAGAAAAGTTAAATAACATATGGCTGATCCCAATTCACAAATTTGAAAATGAAGATTTCTGAAATAATTTCTACAAGACTCTCGATAATATTTATTGGCAGAGGATAACTTAAAGTGTCTAAAAGTGTCAATTGATTATTTTTAAAAGCACTTGAAGACGATTTTTTTAGCTATGAAACTTTACCAATGCAATGCAAAAAAATGATACATAATATAATTTTGACGATATTTTGCATCATTCTTATTTTCAATTAAATCAACGATTTTCTGGAAATGTTTTGATGCAACTTTTTAGTAAACATACCATAGTTTAAGATGGCATTTACACTTTTTTAATTTATTTTATATTGCGCTCAAGAAAAACGTATATAAAATCACTAACAAATTCACCGTCATACGAGCAACGAAAACATTAACAAGTTTGATTTATTCTGAAACTTATTAAACAACCTATGCCAATAATTTTAAAAATGTAACTTAAGACCAAGTACTAAATTGTGGCATACTTAGATTTTCATGCGCAGAGGAAAAATTTTTTGTAATAAAGCCTCCAAATAGCGTCATACGAGCAACGAAAATGTTCCTACTTCAAAAAAAAATGTAAATATTGCAGCTACAATCAGAATTTCTGAGAGAAAATGAAATTTTTTGTTTGTTTAAGTTTAAAAGTGGTATAGAAAACGTTATATTGTTTTCATTAACTAAAATATTGAGTTAGAGATTTTGAGCATGTCTCACACATGACGTGATATACGTTGGATATGAAAAAAGTGTAAGAACTTAATTGAAACTTAAACTATAAGATTTAGGTATAAAGAGTGTTTAAAAAAGTTGTTCCTTAATTCATTCCGCAACTTTTTCTTTTGTATCGTACTTCAATATACTGACACCAGGTGGCGCTGGAGAGAAAAAATTAAAAAAATATTGAAAAAACTTAATTACAGCCTAAACTACAAAGTTTAGGTATAAAATGTGTTTGGGAAAGTTGTTCCTTATTATCTGTTGCAACTTTTTTTCATACGTCATATTTCGATTGGATGACACCAGATGGCGCTAGAGTTGATTTTTTAATTATTTCTTCTCTACTACCTTCTNTAATTCTGTGGTGGTTATTAAAAGTTCAATGATAGAAACTTTGAGTTTGTATCTACATGATAGAAAAGTTAAATAACATATCTTGACAGTGCTTAATGCAGAAAAATGTAATAATAAATATCTATATGTTTTCTGTAACATTTTTCTCAGGAAAATTTCAGTCCATCAAAAATCTATAGATGAAAATGGTGAATTTGCATCGACCCTTAGAATCAACAGTACACGGAAACAAGATGGTGGTTTTTACACATGTCAGGTACGTAATGACATTATTAAATGTTTAAGATTTACTTTAAGAGAGCGTCATGTGAAGTTATTTCAGTATTACGGAAGTAAGCATCCAATTAAATGAAGATACAAAAATAGATTTTTAGATGTTTAAGTAGAAAATAAAAAAGCTTGGAAGTCGAATCCTTTCTTGAATATTTACAGCCTAGACCAACTTTTCAAATGAATACATGACACCAACAGATTTGGGTAACACAAAATGAATAAATCATGTCAATGACTTCGATTCATACATCTCTTCAATGTAAATTTCTTTTCTTTTTTTTTTTCTCTCAAATGTTTCATTGTTGTATTTTGAATTAAAGGAAAAGGGTTCAGAGTTTATTTTGCGATAAATTGAACTCGATGCGTATCGTAACAACAAAAGCTTTTGAGTCAGGCAATAGAATAAAGGTTTATATTCTTGCTTTCGTCTTAACGTTTTCCTTAAGGCCTTTGCTTTCTTATAAATATTTTATCACGCCATTATTGTTTAAGGAATTTCTGACGGATTTTTCTGTTGCCGGAATGCTTTGAAGAATTTTATAAATTTATCTGTTAAGCATCTCGAAATGGCTTCCTTTGAAGCTAAAATGATTCATTCATGAAATCAACTGAACTCTTACTTATCCACCAAAGTGGATTGCCGAGTACAAGTTAGATATGTATACAGACATAAAAAAGTTAAAGTCTTTGATTTTCAAAATCTTTTATATTTTTGATCACAACACAATGAATGTACTTAAAAGCCAAATTAAAATTAAATTTCTTTTTATTTCTTGAAGCTGGGGATGTTTAACTTTTTTCCATTTGCGAAACATAAAGACACTTAAGATTTGAAACGACTTATCATAAAAAGTAATGATTATAGAGGAAGAACAAATAGATCAGAAAAGAAGGAGTTATTGCTAAATTACGATTTGATTTATGCTTCCATTCCCATGAAACGATGAAACGTTATGTTTTACTTCTTTTTTTTATTCATTTTATTCTTCCGTAAATATATGTAAATGTGATCATTCCTTGATTTATGGTAATCTTATGATAATTCTATTTTCACGTTCGGTCCTTATTATTGTAAGAAAATGAATTAAATAGCATATTTTTGACGAGATACGCAAATATGTATGTACGTATGCTCAGAATATGTATAAAAATAGCAGAGCAAGAAGCTCTAACAGACTAAATAACATGAATGTCAGCTGAATGATGATAAAGAGATTTCACGTAGAGCGACGGAGACAGAAAATGTAGATGGAAGCTGCAAGAGAACATAAATTTTCAGATTGTCTACGATGTATGTAAAACAAGCTTATCTTCCTAGAAGAATGAAGTCCAATTTTCCGTGAAGAGAAGTGAGTTTTAAATTGAAAACAGAAAAGTTTTTCACTTAAAGGAAAAAAAACTGGGGGGTTGTATTAGTGATGCTTCCGTGACTCGTTGCAAATACAAAAACATGTTAATATCTAATACAAAAATGAAGGATTTTTTTTAACAAAAGTTCATTTCAAATTTGCATAAAGATGGATTTTAATTGGCATGAAACAACATTAAAACTCATATTGTATTTTTGAAGCTTCACAAAAATACAAACTTGAATTAACGTTATCCTATCTGCAGACAACCACATTGGCATACGCTAGCATTTTCCATGAATGTTGTCTTAAAGTTCAGCAATAGACTCTGAGCAAAGAAGAAAATGAAGAAAAAAAAACTTTTTATTGTTATATTGAAGATTATGCTGGGAAAATAACAGCAACATGCTTTGAAAACCTTTTTTTAAAACTGTCTGAAGAAGCGAACAAAACGCTCAAATGTTGTCATTTAAAGCGAAAAAAAGCATCTTAGAGCTAAATATTGTGGAGTTTCCTACTTCAATTACATGATCAAAAGAGAAGAAAACTACTCTTTTCTTTAAAGCTTCCCTATAATTTCCGATTTATGTTGCTGCAAAATGGATGTAATCGGATGCGCTAAACAATTTCAAGCTCTGTAGAATGTTGAACCTTATTTATATAATAGTTAACTTTATAACTTTTTTAAAAGGTTTTCGATTGGGGACTCGAGCTATGCAAAACAATCAAGATTGAGGTTTTGGAACCTCCTGAAGTTAGGCTAGAACCACCGAGCGCGACACTTTTAAGGGGGAGCTCAATAAGAATAAAATGCTTAGCTACGCAGAAAAACCAGTTGGAAGAAAAACTTGGCTACAGTTGGACCAGAAATCACGCACTGTTTCATTCAGATCCAGAATTTGAAATGTGGGAAGATTTATATCCTGATGGGAGCATCTTGACTATAAAAAACATTCACAAATCAACTATTTACTCATGTTCAATATCGAATTCTCTAGCTTCAGTTTCCACAAGCATTCACATTAACGTTATGGATTTAGAGTCAATGAGTATTTGCCCCGAAGATACATCATATGGAATTAAATGGCTAGTGACATCGTCGGGTCCACCAGTGTTAAATGATTGTCCAATGAGCTACAACGGCAGAGCTCAACGATTTTGTGAGCAGCGAGATTATAACAAATCTGTTTGGCTTAATCCAGATTTTTCGGATTGCATCCATCATGAGCTTTCTGGGGTTTCATTTGAGGTAATCTTGCTGACATACCTTAAAATAAGTTCTCAACAGCTGTTCACTTCATAAATTTAACACGGACTAAACGTGTCTTGACTAAAAGTTTTTCAGCTTTTTATAAATTTTTCTGCTGTCTGTTCTTGGATGTTCCGTATTCTGAATTTTCTCTTTCCAAAACCCTTTTCAAGGAAACAGAATTAAGACGAGCAATGTTTACGAATTAAAGCCTTATCTTTTGTTAATCTTAAGATTTGGAAGCGATTTATCAACTTCAAACTAAAGCTCATCACATATGAAAGAAGACAGAAAGAAAGTTTGTGGAATCTCTAATCCTTATAGTTTATGCTGAAATTTTCTTTATTGTAAGCTTATCGAAAACAATGACTGTGGAGATTCGTAACACTTTTGATTCCACCACGTAACGCTTATGATACTTAAGTAAATATATAGATCCAAGTATGTACATACGTAGACATGTGAAGGAGAAAAGTTAGTGCAAAGTTATCTTCTCTTTCGAGAACACTTATCCCAAGATCTATTCTCCAAACAGATTTTCCTTGACAAACAATATTGATATTCAATCTTTTGTTTTTCTTTCCATCCTTCAAACTGCTACCTTATTCAGTGCTTGTTATCTTTTTTCATGTCAACAATTTCAAATTCTTTATCTTAAAAGATCATTTATTTTCTTTCTTGATATTTCCTCTCACCACTTTATAGTTTGAAGAGCTTACAAATGGATTGCAAAAGACAAACGCATCAACTTTGCTTCGACTATGTCTCGACTATGGACTACATCATTATGACCATTTTTTACCTGGAGAGGGTGGATACCTTCTGGATTTGCTGCAAAATGTAAGTTGACTTTTCTCGACACAATTACAATCAATTTTTATATTATTTTTATCGCTTTTCATAACCAGAGAAAACAAGCTACTTACCTTAGTAGTAACTTCATAATGTAACATTAAATATTTTCATGTTTTTAAATCAAATTTGAAAAATAAAATGATTATGATAATTTTTTTTGAGCAAACAAAGTCAACCGAAGTATAATTTAGGAGTTTTGTTAAGTTTAGAAGGAAGTTTTCTTTTTTTTTCTTTCTATTGTTGTGGAGAAAAAGATTCAGAAACAACAAACAATATTAAAAAGACTTTTTTATTTATTGTTAGCTTATACGCTCGGCGCGCGTTCTCGACAATAAGATTTTATTAGAAAATATTGACTAACTTCTGTCTAGATTTTAGAAGAAAATGATTCACTTTTTCTTTTTCTTTTCGTTTCTTTTTGTTGAAAAGGGCATAAATAATTTATTTCTTGAACACATACATTTTGTTTTATGATTATACGATGAAGGCAGTAAGTGAAATCTTAGAATTCACGAGCTCCCTTCTTGAGAATATCAACGAGTTGTTCTGGCTTTCTTCATTGAATTTTAAAAGCTATTTAAAGCTGCCACAATGACAGTGATAAATCTCATATCCCTTTCTCTCGTCACACTAAAATAAGAATAGTCATTCATGCAGCCTCACGAGATTCTTATTGAAAGAGACGAATGTTGAACGGTAATTTAAAACATGACAGTACATTCATTTTGAAAAATTATTCTTTTTATGATCGTTATCTTGGGCAAAGAGAAGAAAGAAATTGTTTTTAAGGCCGTTACATACTTTGTGGTCGGATTCTCCTTCATCATCAACATAAACGTTTAGAAGGAGAAAATATTGAAGTTTCACGATGTGGCTGACAGCGACAAGTACCACATCAAGCCCAGAAATGAGAGCATGCACGCACATTCATTTTCAGACACTTAAGTGGTTTTATGCTAACTGAATAGTTATATACGAAAAAATTCTCATTGGTTTCTTCTGAGTGCTTGTCTGGTAGAAGAAAAATTGTAGCCAAAATACCAAACGCTAATGGCACTCAGACCTTTGATCTCTCCTATGATCAACAATGTGGCTTTTAAGATTATATGGTTCATTCAATCAAGCTTATTTGCTTTGTGTACACTTGATTCAAAATGCCAAAGAGTTTTCTTTTACTTACACACAAAACTCAATCGGTTGTATAAATCAATATCGTTAAATTCACTTCAACTGAATCACGAGAAAGCATTAGCTATTGATAAAGATTTCCTAACATGACATTGCGAGGGTAAAATGGGAAGAAAAGAATGGCACAAAAAATGGCAGCAGAACGACATGACAATTAATCAGAGACTTATAGAGAGAATGCTTACAGAATTTCAAAAAGAATTTTCTATTGATTTATTGGTTTCAGATTTATGAATACTCACAGCTGATGGATGACAACGATGAGAAGGAAATAGCATGCGAAATTACATTGAAAATAATCGACACCATTTTATTGAACGAAACTTCACTCAACAAGCCATCGGTAAATTGAACCATCAATTTCACTTAAAAATTGACACATTCATGATGATTTGAATAACCAAATAATAAGATTTTATCATTCATCTGTTCTCATTTTCTTCAAAACGCACAGCAAATACAAAAATTACAAGATTTGGTGCAATTAGTAGCAGTTAATCGTGAAACAACGTCATTTGTCTTGCCGGCATCCTCATCTATTAATCAAAAATCCATCAGTTCTTCTGCATCTATTTCACCTATGAGACAACTTAAATCTCTTCAAATATTCAAAGCTAATATCAAAACTCTTCCATTTTCATACCAAATTTATGGGTAAGTAAACATGATTACGAAAGGCGTTGAAATTGAAGTTTGACAGCTGCAAATGTAATGCAATTTTCTATTGAATAAATATTTGGAGGAACACGTGAGAAGTGTAGTGAAGCATGCCTTGCTTTTGATAACCTCCGCATCAAATCTTACATACAAATAGTGATTTCATTTAACACAAGCTTGTCATTCACATGTCAGATGATGTCGCAAATAATCTCACTCGTCGCTTGGCTTTCACAATTTCTAAATTTTCCGTTTCTTTCTTTCGAATTGAACGATTTCAGATATATGTTCATACATCTTTGTATGCTTCCTTTTCTTTTACTGGGAGTGGAAACGTATAAATAAATCATAACCGCCTTGAATTTGGAACTCTACAATAAAAATCATCATGCGAACAGTTTTTATCACAATTTTATTCAAAAAGTAAATAAAATTTTGCGACATTTGCCCGAGCAACGTCAACTGGGTTGGCTTGGCTGATGATATTCTTTCATTTCTTTTGACAACTCTTTAGTACCTACAATATGTGCTATGTTTTGAAGCAACATGAAATATAGAGTAGGTTGGAAACTCAACATGTTCATATGTAAATTGACAATCATAAAGATTTAGGTTCGCTTTGATATGAGAATTTGCTCAAACTATAAACAAGCTTCTGGCGTTTTTTGAGCAAATAAAAAGATTCTCTTATGAAATTTGATGGTTATCGGAATAAGAAGAATACAATCATCGCAATAACAAAACAGATCAATCTTGTTTGTGTAGATAATCAGAAAAATCTTTCGTTTTTATTTCATTTTCCGCAGGGATCAACTGTTTTCGAATCAGCTTTATTTGGAAATCGATGTTAGTATGATTCTCACGGATGCAATCGCGAATGGAAGTCTCACTGTAAGCATTGTTAGTTATCGGAATCTTACATATTTCCTGCCGAAAATGTACTTCTCTCGTAACAGGTAACTTTAATGAAAATGTGCAAGAGAGTCGTATTTAGAAGATATTGTGTTATAACTTTTGTCTGAAGCTTCAGATTCACAGATATTGCATGAGAAATATGAAAAAGACTTACTTGCTGTTGCTGGCAATGGTGATTCATTATGCTTCATGCGTACACATTCAGTTTATCCTTGTTTATGTTGTGCTTCTCGTTTGTTGTCATTTCTGTTATAACATCTCAGCCATAAATAAAACATGAGCTTTTATTTAATACTTCAACGGTAACGCTCTTATTTTCTTCGCCTTTGTGCATCAACTTAAAATAAAAGCATATGAAATATTCTTATATTCACTAACAACGAAAAAAATGAAGTTATTTCCACATCTCATAATATTTTCGACTTCAATGAATCTTTTATTTTTTGCATAGTTCTTCTTTAGATCTTTGTTAAAACATACCTAAAAAAATAAAATTATTGCAATGTGATAACAACTCTAAAAGCATTTCCCTTACACGTAAAAACAAATATGGATTCCTTTTTATTTTTCGCTGCTACAAAAAATTCGATTCTAATTCGATTTTAAAGCTTTTAGCAAATTAAAATTGCTTTGAGAGTTTTCAATATTTTGTTTTTAATTATTCTTTTTACTTATTGCATATATAATGTCACTGCATAACGAATGAATCTGCATGTCATTTCAGAACTTAAAATTTTTAAGTTAAAAATCCAGTGTGATTATCCCACTAGAATCGTAGTTGTTATACTTTTCTTTTTATTCTATCGAATTTGTCATCAACAGCATTAAACATGCATACATAATAAACAGAATACATAAATCTAATAACTATTTTTTTTCACTTTATTATCATCTTGTATAAATATAGTTATGGCACAGAAATAAACTATATTCCTGCTTCGAAAATTGTTTCATCGTGGCTCTTTAACGTTGCTGGTTCCGGAAAGAAGAGTAAAACCACATATTTCAATTTACCATTGAATATAGCGCATGTTGAAATTATTTTTCAACATGAAGTTTTACCCAGCAATGAATGGATTCCACTTTGCGGGTAAATAATTCATGAAAGAACTGAACTTACTAAGCTTCCTTTTTTAGAATTATTATTATGATTTCAGTTCTTCTGCTACACATAAAACAACAAAAAAATTGAATATCTATCTCTATAATAAATTATGAACTTATTTCATTTAATTTCAGCTTTGATTCGAAAGCTTCTTACGAACCAAGCTGGAGAACTGATGTTTGTATCACAGAAAATCTCATGGAAAACATAACGAGATGTATATGTCCATTCTCAGGAACTTTTGTTGTTCTTCTAATGAAAAAAAGCTATAATGTAAGTTTTTCGATAAAAAAGACTTAGATAGTTGTAAAAGTTTCATTAAATATAATCTCTTTTTTATATAGATTTCTCCAATCAAGGTTCCAAGTATTCCAATGGTGGTTATCGTATGCTGTGGTTGTTGCTTCCTTCAATCAACTATCGCTTTTGTCATACTTTTACCCAATATATACATTCGTCGATGTTACATCAGCATAAATTTCGCTCTGTTGCAGTTTTGCCTTTCGGTTACAGCAACAATGTCACTAACCATTCTCAGTTTATTGAAGTTTTTGCCTCAAGTAAGTAAAATAATGAAATCAATTCAGTCTCTAATTGAAAAGTTTTTACTTTTCAACAAGTTCCGTAGAACTGGAAACATCAAATGGTCTAAATATAGTGTTTCGAGTGTTGATATTTTACTTAAATCAACCTTAACTGTCGTTTCATACTTCCTGATTGTAATTAACTTTTTTGCCGCTTTCATTAGAGATGAAAATAATTTTTAAAAACATACTATCGTTGTTCAACTTGTAGCAAATCTGAAGCAAAACTCAATGAAAGCCTTGTGTTGTTAGTTTTTATCATAGGAACAACCCGCTTACTTTCAACCCGCTTGCTTGCTTAGGCTTGCCTTTTTTTTACCGTTAGCTTGCTTGCTTAGCTTGCCTTGTTAGTTTTTTTTCGGCTTGTTTTCTCGGCTTGCCTAGGCCTCCAGAATATTTCAGCTTGCTTCTTCGGCTTGCTTTGGTGAGCTGGCTTGTCTTGTCCCGTGAGTCTGCATTGTCCCCACTTCCACTTGTGACGTCACTTTTCATCGACCCCATTTTTTTCGTTTTTTTTTTTT